CCAATTTCTAGCCCTGAATACCCACAAAATGTTGGAAATTCTGCTGTCTCTTCGGATACCCTTACCATTAACACAAAACTGGTCCGATTGACGATTATGTTTCTAGGTTTTGTCAGCACCATACCCGTGCTCGTGGGTTTCACCGAAGTGGTAAACGTCTGAGACCTGCATCACTTCGGGCTTTCCTCCCACATTAAACTGACACGCTGCGATATAACTGGAATACTGTTGAAAGTGGCGTTAAACCCAACTCACTCACTCACTCACTAGTTACCATCCCTGGTGTTTATGTCAGGGAAACTTTCAGCAAAACTTTGCATTGGTGTAGTAAACCATCCGGTAACATTTGTGCTGTCCAGTTGGATATGATTAATGATGTGATGGATATATTGTTTTTCCTTATAAGTCAATGTAAGATAATTAATGACTAAACAAGGACTTAGGTTATGATGTCATGTGTAAGAGAAGGGGATACCTGAATTAGAAACAAATACCGTATTCGACGTATGAAGCGCCCCGCTCTAATTAGCGCCCATGGTGACATTTGCTCATATATTGGCTAGTGAACAATCCCAATTAGCACCCCTTCCGATTCCGACTCTTGTGTTATAGGCACCCTTAATTATGGGCAATTAAATTCTGGAAAATATATCTGTCGTGACTTTTTTGTATCATTTCAGGCTGTCAGCATAAACCACGAAATTTACGATCTCTCAACTCTGTTTTTTTTCTCACCAAAATTATATTCTATTAAGAGCCCCCTATTTCTAATTTTGAGAGCGCCCTGGGCGCTTATTACGTCAAATATGGTACTCATTGTTTGGGAGACTGTCTTCTGGGAGAACAGAACATCCTAGTTTCAACCCGCGGCCACGTCATACCCTGCCTGTCACTCAGCATTAAGGGGCTAAAACAAGGACCGGTCAGCTCAGTATCAGTATGATGTGTATGACGTTAAAAGATGGTACTTGTTGTTACCCTGCCTGTCACTCAGTATTAAGGGGCTAAAACAAGGACTGGTCAGCTCAGTATCAGTATGATGTGTATGACGTTAAAAGATGGTACTTGTTGTTACCCTGCCTGTCACTCAGCATTAAGGGGCTAAAACAAGGACCGGTCAGCTCAGTATCAGTATGATGTGTATGACGTTAAAAGATGATACTTATTGTTACCCTGCCTGTCACTCAGCATTAAGGGGCTAAAACAAGGACTGGTCAGCTCAGTATCAGTATGTTGTGTATGATGTTAAAAGATGATACTTATTGTTACCCTGCCTGTCACTCAGTATTAACATGATTAAGGGGCTAAAACAAGGACTGGTCAGCTCAGTATCAGTATGTTGTGTATGACGTTAAAAGATGGTACTTGTTGTTACCCTGCCTGTCACTCAGTATTAAGGGGCTAAAACTAGGACTGGTCAGCTCAGTATCAGTATGTTGTGTATGACGTTAAAAGATGGTACTTGTTGTTACCCTGCCTGTCACTCAGTATTAAGGGGCTAAAACAAGGACTGGTCAGCTCAGTATCAGTATGATGTGAATGACGTTAAAAGATGGTACCTATTGTTACCCTGCCTGGCTCTTGGCATTAAGGGGCTAAAACAAGGACTGGTCAGCTCAGTATCGGTATGATTTGTCTGACGTTAAAAGATGGTACTTGTTGTTACCCTGCCTGTCACTCAGCATTAAGGGGCTAAAACAAGGACTGGCCAGCTCAGTATGATGTGTATGACGTTAAAAGATGATACTTATTGTTACCCTGCCTGTCACTCAGCATTAAGGGGCTAAAACAAGGACTGGTCAGCTCAGTATCAGTATGATGTGTATGACGTTAAAAAATGGTACTTATTGTTACCCTGCCTGTCACTCAGTATTAACATGATTAAGGGGCTAAAACAAGGACTGGTCAGCTCAGTATCAGTATGTTGTGTATGACGTTAAAAGATGGTACTTGTTGTTACCCTGCCTGTCACTCAGTATTAAGGGGCTAAAACTAGGACTGGTCAGCTCAGTATCAGTATGTTGTGTATGACGTTAAAAGATGGTACTTGTTGTTACCCTGCCTGTCACTCAGTATTAAGGGGCTAAAACAAGGACTGGTCAGCTCAGTATCAGTATGATGTGAATGACGTTAAAAGATGGTACCTATTGTTACCCTGCCTGGCTCTTGGCATTAAGGGGCTAAAACAAGGACTGGTCAGCTCAGTATCGGTATGATTTGTCTGACGTTAAAAGATGGTACTTGCTGTTACCCTGCCTGTCACTCAGTATTAATGGGCTAAAACAAGGACTGGCCAGCTCAGTATGATGTGTATGACGTTAAAAGATGGTACTTGTTGTTACCCTGCCTGTCACTCAGTATTAATGGGCTAAAACAAGGACTGGTCAGCTCAGTATCAGTATGTTGTGAATGACGTTAAAAGATGGTACTTGTTGTTACCCTGCCTGTCACTCAGTATTAATGGGCTAAAACAAGGACTGGTCAGCTCAGTATCAGTATGATGTGAATGACGTTAAAAGATGATACTTATTGTTACCCTGCCTGGCTCTTGGCATTAAGGGGCTAAAACAAGGACTGGTCAGCTCAGTATCAGTATGATGTGTATGACGTTAAAAGATTGTACTTGTTGTTACCCTGCCTGTCACTCAGTATTAAGGGGCTAAAACAAGGACTGGTCAGCTCAATATCAGTATGTTGTGTCTGACGTTAAAAGATGGTACTTGTTGTTACCCTGCCTGTCACTCAGCATTAAGGGGCTAAAACAAGGACTGGCCAGCTCAGTATGATGTGTATGACGTTAAAAGATGATACTTATTGTTACCCTGCCTGTCACTCAGCATTAAGGGGCTAAAACAAGGACTGGTCAGCTCAGTATCAGTATGATGTGTATGACGTTAAAAAATGGTACTTATTGTTACCCTGCCTGTCACTCAGTATTAACATGATTAAGGGGCTAAAACAAGGACTGGTCAGCTCAGTATCAGTATGTTGTGTATGACGTTAAAAGATGGTACTTGTTGTTACCCTGCCTGTCACTCAGTATTAAGGGGCTAAAACTAGGACTGGTCAGCTCAGTATCAGTATGTTGTGTATGACGTTAAAAGATGGTACTTGTTGTTACCCTGCCTGTCACTCAGTATTAAGGGGCTAAAACAAGGACTGGTCAGCTCAGTATCAGTATGATGTGAATGACGTTAAAAGATGGTACCTATTGTTACCCTGCCTGGCTCTTGGCATTAAGGGGCTAAAACAAGGACTGGTCAGCTCAGTATCGGTATGATTTGTCTGACGTTAAAAGATGGTACTTGCTGTTACCCTGCCTGTCACTCAGTATTAATGGGCTAAAACAAGGACTGGCCAGCTCAGTATGATTTGTCTGACGTTAAAAGATGGTACTTGCTGTTACCCTGCCTGTCACTCAGTATTAAGGGGCTAAAACAAGGACTGGTCAGCTCAATATCAGTATGTTGTGTCTGAGTGGGGTATCCATGTTAAACTGCGGAATGATATTTCACTTGAATAGCACCAGCATTAGTCCGGACTAGTATACATGGTATACGCAGCTACTCACGATGCTATATTTGTGCAATAATCTTGAACGAAACATTCAAACCAGTTTCACCTCGCCTTGATTGTTGCTCCAACTTTACATGCAATAGCTTGAGTAGATCTCTCTTGGGCGGTCGGGTAGCCTAGTGGTTAAAGGGTTCGCTCATCACGCTGAAGACCCGTTCGATTCCAGACATGGGAACAATGTGTGAAGCCCATTTTTAGTGTCCCTCGCCTTGATATTGCTGGAATATTGCTAAAAAAAAGCGGCGTAAAACCAAACTCACTCACTCTGCATTTGCGTACAGACTACATTCTCTAATTTACAGAGTAACCTCTTGACAACTCCATAGGAAATCGGGGCGGTCGGGTAGCCTAGTGGTTAAAGCGTTCGCTCGTCACGCTGAAGACCCCGGTTCGATTCCCGACATGGGTACAATGTGTGAAGCCCATTTGTGGTGTCCCCCGCCGTGATATTGCTGGAATATTGCTAAAAGCGGCGTAAAACCATACTCACTCACTCACTTACTCCATAGGAAATCTGAATTATTTGTCTTTTTGTCCATTTTGACAGATTATCTGTCATTCTTGATTCAAATGGTGGATTCAAATGTTTTTAGATAGGACGTTCTCCTATATCAACACATTTTACACCCCTGGAGATCTGGGATAAAATAGGTCTTGAGCAATCCATGCTTGCAATAACAGGCGACTAAAGGGATCAGGTGGTCAGGCTCACTGACTTGGTTGATGCATGTCATCGTATCCCGATTGCATAGACAGATGCTCATGATGTCAATCACTGGAATGTCTGGACCGGATTCCATTCTTTACAGACCACCATCATATAGCTGGAATATAGAGTGCTGCGTTAATTAAACAACAAACAAACAAAACAAGCAAACACATTTTAAGAAATCTTCAGGACAGTTCGGATGATAGTCACTGTTCTGGAAACTTAACAGATCTGAAACCCTATAGCTCATATGTTATTCTGTAATTACTTTCTTTTCAATGTGGGGGGGCACGGGTGGCCCAGTCGTCTAAGGCGCCGCGATTCGCTGTGCAGAGTTGCGTCCCCTGGACACGCCAGAAACCTATGATTGTGGGTTCAAATCCCGGTTCACCCCGATTATGTTTCTAGGTTTGTCAGCACCATACCCGTCCTCGTGGGTTTCACCGAAGTGGTTAACGTCTGAGACCTGCATCACTTCGGGCTTTCCTCCCACATTAAGCTGACACGCCGTGATATAACTGGAATCATGTTAAAAGCGGCGTTAAACCCAACTCACTCACTCACTCACTCTTTTCAATGTTTGAAAATATTATCATTATGTAAAAAGCCAGAAATGTTTTGCAAGTTGCCAGCCAGTCTTCCTGGCTGCCAGTTTGTGTGTATCAATGATAGTAAAATGCATGAAGTATTGATTTCTCTCTCTCTGTTTCCACAGGCGACCATAGGTATAGACTTCCTGTCAAAGACAATGTACTTGGAAGACAGAACAGTGAGTATGCTTGCCTACAGTCATGTTGCTCAATGGGTGTTGTTGTCACCCATATGCAGTGCTGATGACATCTTCCTGAGGCAAGGGAATTAACTGTCTATAAAATCCGGTTTCCATCCTTGCCAAACTAACCTGGAATTGTGAAGTTATATTTTGGCTGGACTAACGAGTCTGTGCATAGTCCAATCAAAAGTGGTGGAAAAGTCTCCATGCTGGTCGTGTGCGGCTGCTATATTAGACCAGGGCCCACTTGCACAAAGCAATCTTAGTGCTAATCAAAATCACGGAACAAAACCGACATCCGATTCGTAAAGGCCTTGCGGATGTCGATCAATTGCAGGATTTTTAAAGCATGTATACCGTCAAATTAGCATCAACAGATATTTTCCAAGTCTTTTTCATGTTTTAATCAAGGTGCTCACGTAATTTGATGGACATCGCGACATAAGAACCATTTTGTTACAATATAGATCTTGATTATCAATCAGATTGTCTTCACTGGGAGCGGCCATGTTTTTTTAACCAAGTGCAAGTGATATGAAAGAAGGAATGATTTGTCAATAGGGGGGACATAGAAGGGACATACGTCTTTACAGTCACTGGTGGCGCTACGATCGAACCCAGAAATTCCAACCTAGTTCAGCAAAGGTCACAACTGGACTTTTACAGTCAGTTAAATAAATGCCTTGCCTCAGGGAGATGTGCTGATGAGAAAATGATCAAACTTATGGGGACAAACTGTCTCCAATACAAGAGCCCTGTTGGAACGACAGTGGTGGAAAAGTCTCCATGCTGGTCGTGTGCGGCTGCTGTATTAGACCAGGGCCCACTTGCACAAAGCAATCTTAGTGCTAAGATGATCGTAACTCCCATACTTTAACATAGGCTTACAATAGTCGTAGCACTAAAATCGCTTTGTGCAAGTGGGCCCTGGTGGACATGCTCAGTGACTGGTTTGTCTGTCAAACACTTGATTAAGAACAGACGAAGGGCTGTAGTATATAATTTAATGAACACAGCAGAAAATGGCATAGATTCTCCAAGCCACTCACTCACTCAGTCACTGTGGAGGAGGAGGAGATATTAAATTGACAAACCATACATAATGCAAAACATAATCAGGAAGGTAACCATGGTAACATCTTTACTAAAGGTAACATGACATAGAAGATACAAAATTAAACATTCAAGTGCGAAGTTTGAATTAGGTTCAAGGATGTAACAGCTTCCAGGTTCAGGAAGTGGGCACTGTAGTGGTATAGTTGATGCAGCATGACAATGCTATTGTCATCCTCAATGCTATTGTCATCCTCAATGCTTGACAGGTTTGTAGTCAATGTTCCTCCATTACCTGTAAGACTTTCACCCACTGTGCAGTGAACATGGTGAAGTCTCTATTGTCATCAGACTGCCTCCGTGGTCTAGTGGTAGAGCGTTTGCCTGGAGAGCGGAAGGTCCAGGGTTCAATCCCCGGCCACATCATACCAAAAGACGTTAAAAGATGGTGCTTGTTGAAACCCTGTCTGGCGCTCGGCATTAAGGGGCTAAAACAAGGACTGGTTGGCTTGGAGTCAGTATACTGTCTGAGTGGGGTATTCATGTTAAACTTCGGCATGATATCTCAGTGTGCATATTTAAGCACAATAAATCGGCATCAGTCCGGACTAGCACAAGCAGACACACACACACACACACACACACACACACACACACACACACGTGCATGCACGTCGCTATATAAGTGCAATAATCTTGGACGCGACGTTTAACCCCATTTCACCTCACCTCACCTATTGTCATCAAATCGGGTGACCTGCTTCCAGTGAGAAGCCAAAGCACTGGGAGCTCATGTTGCATTACAAACATCAGTGTTTCCCACCTGACATTGTGTTCAACCCGTGCCATACATTGTGGTATCTGTTCTACACATTACTTCTGTCAGGCCATGGTAGAGTTCACACTAAGTTTATCCACAGACAGGCTCATGTGACCTCCATAACGGATACACATTTTTTTAATTTCAAAAGAAATGATTGTCAGCCCAATTTGTTCTTTGGTGATGGAGGAACATAATTTATCATCCCAAACTGTTATCCTCAGGAGATATGTGTGGGTGTTATCAAGCAATATCACCTAGGAGATATCGCTACATCACTATGCTTTGCAGACCAGTGTGACCTCATCGGTTACCAATCAAATGACATCACTAATCTCTCTGCTATTGAAGCTGGTTAGGTGTACTATTTTACACTCTAGAAACAGGTTATTAAATTGGAAGAATGATCAGCAAGCCTCAGAGTTTAAAACTTTTACCGTCTTGTTTAAGAATTTACTTACACATTTACACAGTATGTACACTTGTTTTTATGTTTAAACCTCCATGAATGTTAAAACATATTGTATTGTACTAATTTGAAGTCAGTTCTTATTAATAAATACGGGGAAAAATAACTTCACAGACAGGCACACAAAAAACTGTAGGCGACAATACAAAATCATTGACATTGTTCAAGGTTCCATACACTGCCATAAGCATCATTGATCAGCCAATCAGGATACAGCAGCAGTAGTAGCAGTAGTGACAGGCCTCAAAGTTTAAATTTTTACCAAGTAGCCATATGGCTACAAGTATTTTTTTCCAGGCAGCAGGGGTGGTAGGCCTCAAAGTTTAAATTTTTACCAAGTAGCCATATGGCTACAAGTATTTTTTTCCAGGTAGCCAGTGGTAAAATCAAGAAGTCAAGCCAATATTGTAGGTAGCCAAAAGCATTTGAAATTATCTTTCTCAAATAACTATTATAATCATGTGATAATATGTACAAGTTATAGCACTGGTCTTGAAATTGTATCTTAATGGAAACTGTACTTGATTTTTGTTATTTGTGACTCAAACAATGATGCAATAAATGTTACTAGATTATATAGGTATAACTTTGCTTATCCAATGAGCATTGTTAACTAAAATAAACTACTAATTACATTAATATTTATGTATTTTGGTTCATTATCGACTTAAGAAGGAATTATTTGCAAGTACAATAATTGGCAGACATGTTTTCCAATATCAGCTGTTATTTGTGGGTGTGTCTACAGATGTGTAGCAATAGAATCAAGTAGCCACAAGATATTTTTCTAGTCAGTCATTTGGCTACCTCTGAATTTTAGACAGTAGACAATTCCGAAAGTTAGGTAACCGTTATAGTCGCAACTTTGAGGCCTGTGGCCAAATGTGTTTGCAACATAATGAAACGGAATCACTTGCAATTGTTTTATGTTGATATAATTCATATCGAAAGAGTCTCGGGTGACATTTTCTAGGCCTACAAACCTTTGAAGTATTGATGATGTGCTGGTGTAATAGGAATACACTTACCCATGAAGATCTGGGTTAGAATTGGTCTTCAGCAACCAATGCTTGTAGTGATAGGCGACTATGCTTGTCTTAAGAGGCGACTCAGAGGATCGGGTGATCTGGCTCGCTGACTTGGTTGATGCATGTCACCGTCTCCCCATTATCATGATTTTGTAGATGGAGGTTCATGTCAAAAGCTGGATTGTCTGGTCCAGACTTGAATATAACTAGAGTACCGCTGAGTGCAGTGTTACACAACCAACACAAAATACAGTTTGGTCATGTTGTCATGTTGTCATGTTGTCATGATGTCATGTTGTCATGTTGTCATGTTGTCATGTTGTGTATGTTGTCATGTTGTGTATGTTGTCATGTTGTCATGTTGTCATGTTGTGTATGTTTTCTGTTGTTCAGATCCGGTTACAGCTGTGGGACACAGCAGGGCAGGAGAGGTTTAGAAGTCTCATCCCTAGTTACATTCGAGATTCCTCAGTAGCTGTAGTTGTGTATGATATAACAAGTGAGTACAAGCATGTTGACCATGCATAGTTGTGATGCTCTCTATCCATGCCTTAGGCCATAGTAATGGTGCTGTGTGACCTGTCTGATTGTGTGTCACCATGCCCTGATGGTGTGTGACCTGGCTGATTGTGTCACCATGCCCTGATGGTGTGTGACCTGTCTGATTGTGTGTGACCTGGCTGATTGTGTGTCACCATGCCCTGATGGTGTGTGACCTGGCTGATTGTGTGTGACCTGGCTGATTGTGTGTCACCATGACCTGATGGTGTGTGACCTGGCTGATTGTGTGTCACCATGCCCTGATGGTGTGTGACCTGGCTGATTCTGTGTCACCATGCCCTGATGGTGTGTGACCTTTCTGATTGTGTGTGACCAGTCTGATTGTATTTCACCATGCCCTGATGGTGTGTGACCTGGCTGATTGTGTGTGACCTGTCTGATTCTGTGTCACCATGCCCTGATGGTGTGTGACCTTTCTGATTGTGTGTGACCAGTCTGATTGTATTTCACCATGCCCTGATGGTGTGTGACCTGGCTGATTGTGTGTGACCTGTCTGATTGTGTGTCACCATGCCTTGATGGTGTGTGACCTGTCTGATTGTGTGTCACCATGCCCTGATGGTGTGTGACCTGTCTGAATGTGTGTCACCATGACCTGATGGTGTGTGACCTTTCTGATTGTGTGTGACCTGTCTGATTGTATTTCGCCATGCCCTGATGGTGTGTGACCTGTCTGATTGTGTGTGACCTGTCTGATTGTATTTCGCCATGCCCTGATGGTGTGTGACCTGTCTGATTGTGTGTCACCATGCCCTGATGGTGTGTGACCTGTCTGAATGTGTGTCATCATGCCCTGTTTGTGTGTGACCTGTCTGATTGTGTGTCAACCATGCCCTGATGGTGTGTGACCTGTCTGATTGTGTGTGACCTGTCTGATTGTGTGTCATCATGCCCTAATGGTGTATGACCTGTCTGATTGTGTGTCACCATGCCCTGGTGGTGTGTGACCTGTCTGATTGTGTGTCATCATGCCCTGATAGTGTGTGACCTCTCTGATTGTGTGTCACCATGCCCTGGTGGTGTGTGACCTGTCTGATTGTGTGTCATCATGCCCTGATGGTGTGTGACCTGGCTGATTGTATGTCATCATGCCCTGATGGTGTGTAACCTGTCTGTGTGTCACCAAGCCCTGATGGTGTGTGACCTGGCTGATTGTGTGTCACCATGCTCTGATGGTGTGTGACCTGTCTGAATGTGTGTCACCATGCCCTGATGGTGTGTGACCTGTCTGAATGTGTGTCACCATGCTCTGATGGTGTGTGTTCTGGTAGAGAATAGGTCTTCAGCAACCCATGCTTGCCAGAAAAGGCGACTATGCTTGTCGCAAGAGGTGACAAAGGGGATCGGGTGGTCAGGCTCGCTGACTTGGTTGATGCATGGCATTCAATCCCAATTGTGTAGATCGATGCTCATGACATCAATCACTGGATTGTCTGGTCCAGCACTTGATTATTTACAGACCGCTATCATATAGCTTTAAACAACAAACAAACAAACAAACATCAATCACATATTTTTCTGGTCCAGACTTTGTCTTCCACTCTGTTATAGATGGAATATTGTTGACTCTGGAATTAAATAACAGTGTGTCATCAAGCTAACTTTTCCTCACTGTTTCAGATGCAAATTCCTTCCACCAAACATCCAAATGGATCGATGATGTGCGTACAGAACGAGGGAGTGATGTCATTATAATGCTTGTAGGAAATAAAACAGATCTGTCAGATAAGAGGTTTGTTTATTGAGAGTACTGTATTCAACATAATAAGCGCCCTGGGTGAAATAAGGGGCTCTTATTAGAATAAGAGTTGAAAGATAAATTTCACGGTTTATGTTGACAGCCTGCAATGTTTATGTACGACAGATATATTTTTCCAGAATTTAATTGCCCCTAATTAAGGGTGCATATAACACACGAGTGCGTATTATACACGAATAAATAAGTCTTGTGTACATTGATCAATCGGAAGGGGTGCTAATTGGGAATGTTCACTTGCCAATATCTTTGCAAATGTCGCCATGGGCGACATTATGGATTATGGATGTATGTATTATGGATGTAGGATGTTCATGAACATTTGTGGGGATGGAATAAAATGTAAAAGAAAAGATAGCTCGTTCATCTACAAAGCAATAACATAAGGTGTCATACCTCCATATCAGAATGATGAGATCTGATTGGTCCACGTGATCTTGATAAAATACTGCGTATCCAGCCTTGAAGGGAATAAATTTTTCAACAAGAGAATAAATCTCTTATACCCCACCACAAGCTGCATGTGGATTTCTGAGAGGCTGAATAAGTCCCTTATACCCCGCTTCCAAACAAAATGACGCACGCTTTTTCCAAGTCAATGGAAGTCAAGTGACATACTGCAAGCTAACCTCAGCTCAAACGAACAGGTGTTTTCTATCGATTTTGAATTTGTTTGAATTCTTTTACAATGTCATATTAAAACTTGTCGGTAAGATGAATTTGTTGCAGCAGGATCACAGGGGAGGGGTATATGGGGTTTTATGCCTCCCACAACAGGTTTTATACCACACGCTCCTGCTCGTATAAAACCTAACGCAGGACGCATAAACCGCATGTAACCCTCACGATCCTGCTACAACTTATATTATGAGTATATAACATGAATTTGGGGATTTGTAATTCAGTTTGGAAATTTGGAATATCTTTCTGACATTTGCTGCCGACTTGGGCTGAGTATTGGGCTCTGAATAGGTCTAAATATGTCCCTGAATATGGATTGGAAGTATTCTCATGATGACAATACTGTATCAGCCACATGTTGCTAGTGATCCAACTTAGGTTGAGAGTTATCCCCCTTGTTTAAGACTTGTCCTCTTTGTGAAAGACGTGACTGACCCTTGCTGTTTCGTTTCAGACAAGTGACAACAGAGGAGGGAGAGAGGAAAGCAAAAGAGTTGAATGTAATGTTTATAGAAACCAGCGCCAAGGCCGGGTATAATGTCAAACAAGTAAGTTGGAGTCTCAACCATAGCAGAAGGGGCGGTGGGGTAGCACAATGGTAAAGTGTTTGCTTGTCATCCCTGGTTCAATTCGCTATGGGGGCATGGGTGGCCCAGTCATCTGAGGCGCCGCGATTCGCTGTGCAGAGTTGCATCCCTTGGGCACACCAGAAACCTATGATTGTGGGTTTCGAATCCCGGTTCGCCCTGATTATGTTTCTAGGTTTGTCGGCACCATACCCGTGCTCGTGGGTTTCACCGAAGTGGTAAACATCTGAGACCTGCATCACTTCGGGCTTTCCTCCCACTTTAAGCTGACATTCAGCGATATAACTGGAATACTGTTAAAGCAGCGTTAAACCCATCTCACTCACTCACTCCATTCCCTACGTGGGCATGGGTACAATGTGTGAAGCCAATTTCTGGTGTCCCCTGCCAGGATATTGCTGGAATATTGCTAAAAGCGACGTACAACCATACTCACTCACTCACTCAACCATTGCTGTGAAGTGAGTGAGTGTTATTTTATGCCACAGTTGCCAGTACCCATTTCAAGTGCCGATCAGTTGAGGATTGTCCACAATGGCTACTTAGAAAGACTTGCACTTGAATAGAAATGTGTATCATGGTTACAGTATGGAAGATGTTATTATGGTTGTAGTGCTGAGATCGTTTTCTGGTTTACTGTAAGATGAGACTTATTGGAACGGGTGGTCACTCATTGATAGTGTCACATCATACCTCGACGCAGTGGATCGGTCACAGTATCAATCCCTGGATTGTCTGACCCATGAAAATCCAGGGTAGAATAGGTCTTAAGCAACCCATGCTTGCCGTAAAAGGCGACTATGCTTGTTGTAAAAGGCGACTAACGGGATCTGGTGGTCAGGCTCGCTGACTTGGTTGATGCATGTCATCTATCCGAATTGCGTGGATCGATGCTCATGATGTCAATCACTGGATTGTCTGGTCCAGACTCGATTATTTACAGACCGCCGTCATATAGCTGGAATATTGCTAAAACAAACCAACAAACCAACAAACCAACCAACCCTGGATTGTCTGCCCAGACTCTTATCTACAGGCTGCTGTCCTATAGCTTAAATATCATATAGTTTCCTCCCTTGCCGAACTAGACTGGTATTATGGAGTTACATTTTGGCTGGACTAACGAGTCCATGCTTAGTCCAATCACAATCCCGCAACGAAATCGGGATGCAAGTGATACGAGAGGTGGAATCTAATTGGTCCATAGGAGAGGCTTAGAAGGGACATAACTTGTGATAGCCACTGGTGGCGCTACGATCGAGCCCAGGAATTCCAGCCTTGTTCGGCAAGGGTGAAAACTGGACTTTTAAAGTCAGTTAACTCCCTTGCCTCGGGAAGATGATGGTAGACTGCCTTTACTGAAGAAGTAGCCCTCTAACGATTGCTGGTTCCATTTTCAGTTATTCCGTCGTGTTGCAGCAGCGCTACCCGGGATGGAACAAACAGAACCCAAGAAAGGCGAGAGTATCCTTGAAACGATAACGATGACCATAATCATAATACTTGCTTTGATACAGGTCGTGTGTAGCCACTCTGTTGACAGGGCTGATAGTAGTTGCAAAATTAGGCCTAGAATTAGAAGTTTCAGCTTTTGCCACTAACAGAAAAAATTACACTGATGGCGATGATTGTTCTTGGATAATATAATTGATGCATTTGGAATGAGTGATTACAGTGACACTCATACTGTTCACGAATCAAGTTTGTCCAATATTTCTCTGGAGCTGGTGTATTCTGATGAGATCTGAGATGATTGTTACTAAAACAGGACCTTGGTACACAAACGTGCAAGGTGGTCAGTGTAAAACAAGATGGAACTAGCTAACATTGCTTGCCTTTGCTTCTTTGTTGGGTGATGGTGTTGTTGGAGGAGGTGGGCCGTGTGGGTTCTGTGTTTCACTGTCAGGTTGTGGCCTGGGTTTGACTCTGGGAGGTCGGAAACCCCCACTGGGTCTTCTGCTGGGATTCTGTGTGGAGGCCAGGTGGCCTTGTTGGTTCTGTGTTTCACTGTCAGGATGTAGACTTGGTTTGACTCTGTATGGCAGCATCTCCTGCTGGGATTCTGTAAGTAGATAAATTCCATGTGGTTCCATGCGGAAGCCTAAATGCAAAAATAATCGCTCGGTTTGACAATCAAATGACATGGAATCACTTGCAGTATATTTAGTTATTCAGTTGAATCACAAACCAATGTTTGATTATTAAGAGCAGCTTGTACAATGTTTTGACACATTGTACAGGTACAAATTTGCATACATAACCTTTTGAGAGCAGAAGTCCTATGGCCTGGTCAGATTCAGGTAAGACTTGTACAGCTTGATTTTTATTTTGTGTGTGACATGTCAAAGAAAAGACCTTCTTGGGAAAATTTGTTATATAATTGTCATTCGACTGACATTTTCAAGCTTTTCCATGAGTTGTAGTAAATCTTTTATTGCAACTTCAAACACACTGACTACTTGGCTGTCTGGCTGTAATAATTCTCTGTATGTCACATACCCTGTGTGATAATTAATTTCAAGTATTTGTGGTTGGCTGTGATTAAAATGTTTTTATTTTTCCATATTTACTTAATGAAGCTCCTATTTCCAGTCCCAGGCTTATCATTGAGAGTTTGTGATGTCCTGTGGTGTTACATGTGTAGTGTACAAGTGTCTTGTAAAGCATTTTACTCCCAAATCCATCTCATGGTTCAGTATAAATATTATATAGGGCGCTCTGTGTCGGAGGAGGTGTGGTTCTGGCATTAGATTTTCATCTGGAAAAACTGGGCTTTCTTCAAAAGACACATTAGCTACTCAGTTGAAAGTTTCATGCCCTAACATTGAGCTACAAAATCACAAATTTCATTCCCTAACATAGAGCTACGACGTTGTAAATCAGATGCCCTAACATTTAGCTACGAAGTCGTAAATCTGATGCCCTAACATTTAGCTACGAAGTCGTAAATCTGATGCCCTAACATTTAGCTACGAAGGCGTAAATCTGATGCCCTAACATTTAGCTACTAAGGCGTAAATCTGATGCCCTAACATTTAGCTACGAAGGCGTAAATCTGATGCCCTAACATTTAGCTACGAAGTAGTAAATCTGATGCCCTAACATTTAGCTACGAAGGCGTAAATCTGATGCCCTAACATTTAGCTACGAAGGCGTAAATCTGATGCCCTAACATTTAGCTACGAAGGCGTAAATCTGATGCCCTAACATTTAGCTACGAAGTAGTAAATCTGATGCCCTAACATTTAGCTACTAAGGCGTAAATCTGATGCCCTAACATTTAGCTACGAAGTAGTAAATCTGATGCCCTAACATTTAGCTACTAAGGCGTAAATCTGATGCCCTAACATTTAGCTACGAAGGCGTAAATCTGATGCCCTAACATTTAGCTACGAAGTAGTAAATCTGATGCCCTAACATTTAGCTACGAAGGCGTAAATCTGATGCCCTAACATTTAGCTACGAAGGCGTAAATCTGATGCCCTAACATTTAGCTACTAAGGCGTAAATCTGATGCCCTAACATTTAGCTACGAAGTAGTAAATCTGATGCCCTAACATTTAGCTACGAAGGCGTAAATCTGATGCCCTAACATTTAGCTACTAAGGCGTAAATCTGATGCCCTAACATTTAGCTACTAAGGCGTAAATCTGATGCCCTAACATTTAGCTACGAAGTAGTAAATCTGATGCCCTAACATTTAGCTACTAAGGCGTAAATCTGATGCCCTAACATTTAGCTACGAAGTAGTAAATCTGATGCCCTAACATTTAGCTACGACGTCGTAAATCTGATGCCCTAACATTTAGCTACGAAGTCATTAATCTGATACCCTAACATAGAGCTACGACGTCGTAAATCTCAAGCCCTAACATTTAGCAGCTAAGTTGTAAATCTCGAGCCCTAACATTAAGCTACAAAGTCCTAAATCTCAAGCCCTAACATGGAGTTTTGATGTTCATCAACTTTTTACACTAGTCCACGGTCAGTTAGACCATCGTGGTAAAGTGGAAATGCCTTAGTGCAGACAGCAACAGATCTATGGTTCAATCCCCTCACAGCGTCATACCAAACAGCATTAAAATATGGTATTTGTTGTTACTCTGTCTGGCGCTCAGCAATAAGGGAATCAAACAAAGACTGGTCGGCTAGGAATCAGTATACTGCATTTGATTGTGGTGTTCATGTTAAACTGCAGCATGCTTTCTCAGTGGGCCTAGGGGCGGTCGGGTAGCCTTGTGGTTAAAGCGTTAGCTCGTCACGCTGAAGACCCGGGTTCGATTCCCGACATGGGTACAATGTGTAAAGCCCATTTCTGGTGTCCCCCGCCGTGATATTGCTGGAATATTGCTAAAAGCGGCATAAAATCATACTCACTCACTCACTTAGTGGGCCTAGCACTATACAACCGGCATTTGACCGGACTATTACAAGCAGCCACACACACACACACACGTGCGTTCAACCCTATTCCTTTGGGTCTGTTGATATATTGCTGCAACAGCGTTGAATATAAACAGGACCCTACTGACGTATGCTGGCAATAGTTTCAAAAAGCAAGTTCAATGTAGAAGGCTGCTTGCCCTTTTCTGAAACCATATGGTCTCTGCCCTTTTGAACTAATTTCAGTTCTGGGTGAGTATTCATTGTCGAAGGGAGGTAACTCTGGGTTGTCTCAGCTGAGAATGACAATTGATTTCATATGAAATGTGGAGATGTGGATGGACATGTATGTCTGATAGATGGTACATGAATATAGGAACACACTGAATTGTAGTTGCTATGGTTACTTACCTACTTCGTCTCGGCTTGACAAAACCCTCCCTTTACACCCGTGACCTCTCACTGAAAGAGCCACCAGCCAACACCAGTCTTTCAAAGTCATGAACTGAAAAGCAATTACACGGAGCTTTTCAAAGGGAATGTAGGGAATCACAGACCAATAATTCACACAGAATTTCCAGGGAATATTGGGAGCCACAGACTATAAATTCACGGAGCATTTCCCAGGGAGGGTAGGTAGTCACAGACCATAAATTCACAGAGCATTTCCCAGGGAATGTAGGTAGTCACAGACCAGTAATTCATGGAGCATTTCCCAGGGAGGGTAGGTAGTCACAGACCAATAATTCACGGAGCATTTCCCAGGGAATGTAGGTAGTCACAGACCAATAATTCACGGAGCATTTCCCAGGGAATGTAGGTAGTCACAGACCAATAATTCACGGAGCATTTCCCAGGGAGGGTAGGTAGTCACAGACCAATAATTCACGGAGCATTTCCCAGGGAATGTAGGTAGTCACAGACCAATAATTCACGGAGCATTTCCCAGGGAATGTAGGTAGTCACAGACCAATAATTCACGGAGCATTTCCCAGGGAATGTAGGTAGTCACAGACCAATAATTCACGGAGCATTTCCCAGGGAGGGTAGGTAGTCACAGACCAATAATTCACAGAGCATTTCCCAGGGAGGGTAGGTAGTCACAGACCAATAATTCACAGACCATAAATTCACAGAGCATTTCCCAGGGAGGGTAGGTAGTCACAGACCAATAATTCACAGAGCATTTCCCAGGGAGGGTAGGTAGTCACAGACCAATAATTCACGGAGCATTTCCCAGGGAGGGTAGGTAGTCACAGACCAATAATTCACAGAGCATTTCCCAGGGAATGTAGGTAGTCACAGACCATAAATTCACAGACCATAAATTCACAGAGCATTTCCCAGGGAGGGTAGGTAGTCACAGACCAATAATTCACGGAGCATATCCCAGGGAATGTAGGTAGTCACAGACCAATAATTCACGGAGCATTTCCCAGGGAGGGTAGGTAGTCACAGACCATAAATTCACAGAGCATTTCCCAGGGAATGTAGGTAGTCACAGACCAGTAATTCATGGAGCATTTCCCAGGGAGGGTAGGTAGTCACAGACCAATAATTCACGGAGCATTTCCCAGGGAATGTAGGTAGTCACAGACCAATAATTCACGGAGCATTTCCCAGGGAATGTAGGTAGTCACAGACCAATAATTCACGGAGCATTTCCCAGGGAGGGTAGGTAGTCACAGACCAATACTTCACAGAGCATTTCCCAGGGAATGTAGGTAGTCACAGACCAATAATTCACAGACCATAAATTCACAGAGCATTTCCCAGGGAGGGTAGGTAGTCACAGACCAATAATTCACAGAGCATTTCCCAGGGAGGGTAGGTAGTCACAGAGCAATAATTCACGGAGCATTTCCCAGGGAGGGTAGGTAGTCACAGACCAATAATTCACAGAGCATTTCCCAGGGAATGTAGGTAGTCACAGACCATAAATTCACAGACCATAAATTCACAGAGCATTTCCCAGGGAGGGTAGGTAGTCACAGACCAATAATTCACAGACCATTTCCCAGGGAATGTAGGTAGTCACAGACCATAAATTCACAGAGCATTTCCCAGGGAGGGTAGGTAGTCACAGACCAATAATTCACAGACCATTTCCCAGGGAATGTAGGTAGTCACAGACCATAAATTCACAGAGCATTTCCCAGGGAGGGTAGGTAGTCACAGACCATAAATTCACAGAGCATTTCCCAGGGAATGTAGGTAGTCACAGACCAATAATTCACAGACCATTTCCCAGGGAATGTAGGTAGTCACAGACCATAAATTCACAGAGCATTTCCCAGGCAGGGTAGGTAGTCACAGACCAGTTATTCTCAGGGCATGTCTCTGGAGGTTATCACAGCTAAGGAACAGTATCATTCTTTATTTCCAGAAACCATTATTTGATATCACATGCCTTTAGTTAATTTGAAAGTGCAATTATGTGCCAACCAGTCCATGGTATTGATCATCCACGACATCTTCATAGACTCTTTCTGCACCTGTTGTCCTGCATGCTAACATCACTGCTTGAATGTCCTTGTGCTGTCTTCTCTCTGTGTCTGAGGTGCTGGTTGTATTCATTAACTGGTATGTATACCGTATATTCTTGAGTATAGTGCACACTTTTTACCCCCCAAAACAGCTGTGTAGAAGAGGGTGTGCATTATACATGCCATAATGAGTTTTGATGTTTTTTCCCCCGAACGCAAAGACATTGCCGTGAGCATGTAACGCTGGAAATACCATGTCAACAATTCCGTACTGGAGTACACAATATAATCTTGTAATTACACTGTCTGGTTATAAAAAATGTTCATTGTATATCTGGACTTACGTTTGTACTCAAATTTGTACTGACCAAGTTTCTAATCACCCGTTCGTTTATTGGAATTCAGTAATTTTTTCTGCAAATAATATTCGATTTATTTTTTTCAAAAATACTGAATCTAGGTGGTCATTTTACTTGGGTACGCACTCAACTCAAGAAAATACGGTTATATAACAATGGTTATAGGTTGAAAATTCACCTCTCAGACAGTACAAAGGAAAATATATAGCTGCTTGATATAAAAGAACAATATGGTCTATGATGTTTTTAATGAAATCGAATAATTCAGAAAATAGTGATAATATAAATTATCGCGCAACTATTTTTATGAGTAGAAATACATTTAAAACTTGTAGATATTTAATGATTAGACATGTTCTGAGGCACCTGTAGTTTTCTTTTTATGCTTGGACAGTGAACTGTGAACAAGTAATTAACACTGCGAGTAGTTAACAAGGCTTTTCAACTGCTGCTTGGGTTATTATAGTCTTCTTTTCAAATTTGTACTTAGCATTGCTTTGTGGCAAAGTTTGTATGTCACCCAAGTAAAAAATAGTCCATCGTCTCCAGGTTATTTGTAGTATTAATTTCTGAAAGAATTAAAAAAAAAGCTGTCAAATTAACTTCACTTTTGTAAGTTACATAAGTCTTTTTGATACTTTGTTTGAGTTTTGATCCTGAGACTGGAAATAGAGGCTTTTAGATGCTTGATTAAATTAATGTAATTCTTTTCTACTTTTAGTTAATTTATTTGATTAATTGCTATGATTTGATTGAGTTTGACACCTTAACCCTCCCCAGTGACTGAGGTCAAACTGAAGGAGACGCCGGCCGAGCCTCAGACACAAGAAGGAGGCTGTGCATGCTAGATGTGTCGCTGTTTCTCATTGGCTACTCTATTTGTATGAGCTGTAACCATTGGATGTATTTTTGTACATAGTATCACTGATTTCATTGGCCACTCAGTTTTGTATAAACTGTTATCATTGGTTGTATTTTTGTACATAGCTCAAAATGAAGGAAAGCAAGAAATAATGAGATCATTCTTTTCCGTACTTCAAGACTGTCAAACGATTCTTTTTGAAGATGATCATAAGTATGTGGTTAGAATCTTAAATAGTTCAAGAATATTATTATTAGTTTAATATTGTCTGCAAGATCTATTCAAATGTTTAAGAAAATCTGAAATGCTCACAATTTTCAGATATGAGCTCTCTAGTTTCTCATAACAATATGAAGTCGACCATTGAAACTGTATTTTCTCTGCTGTTCTCCTGACAAAGCAATATCTAAATTAGCTTCAACCTGTCCTCAAATTCTTGTTGAAAATCTAAACTTTTGTACTATTATATTTAAAAAAGGATTTTGATGTTTGTCTAATTTTCGTTTCACTGAAAGATATATTTATGTGATTATTAATCTTACCTGATAGTGACTTTCACAATGATAATACTAAACCCATGTACATCACCGTCACTACGCTGGGTAGTACACTGGGTAGTGCAGTGGGTAGTGTGTTCACCTAGCAGCACACAGACCTGGGTTTGTGCCCAACACACTCACTCACTTTGCAGGTATTCGAACTAAAACTGAATGACCCATTTCTTGCTCTTCTTTACTGTCTAACAAGTTTGCCAGTGATGTGTTTTGAATGTGTGTATTTTAACATCAAAATTTGCCTCTAACTGTTGTACAATTGTATGCTTTGATTGGAACCGATGACCATGTCCATTTTCTGTAACACTCTTACTTTAACATAGACTTTCCAGGGTGCCAATGTACAAAAGAACCTTAGGACTACGACTGGTGTAAGTCTACATAAGGTTATGGGAGCTACGATTACCTTAGCGCTAAGATCGCTTTGTACAATGGCACCCAGGATCTTAGCACTAAGATGACTTTATGGTACAGGGTGCCAATGTACAAAACAACCCTAGGGCTACGACTGTTGTAAGTCTACATAAGGTTATGGGAGCTACAATTACCTTAGCGCTAAGATCGCTTTGTACAATGGCACCCAGGATCTTAGCACTAAGATGACTTTATGGTACAGGGTGCCAATGTACAAAACAACCCTAGGGCTACGACTGTCGTAAATCTATGTTATAGTGTGGGAGTTACGTCACCTTAGCGCTGAGGTTGCTTTGTACAGCTGCACCCAAGGCTGAGTAGTTCTGATAAGGCACTGGACTGTAGAGAACCATGGACATGCACAGATGAGTGAACCTCTAATCCTGTCAAGATTCCATTGCAATTCTAGGCGAAGATGCTTGTTGTAAGAGGCGACTAACGTGATCGGGTGGTCAGGCTCGCTGATTTGGTTGATGCATGTCATCGATCCCAATTGCGTGGATCGATTCTCATGTTATCCATCACTGGAGTCGATTATTTACAGACCGCCGTCATATAGCTGGAATATTGCTGAGTGCGGCGTTTAACAACAAACCAACCAACCAACCACTGCAGTTCCACTTGTGTAAGCAGCTGATTGGTGAAAAATCTGCCTATTGGTTTATGTCAACCTATGAAAGTCCTACTCCATGGCTATAATTGGAGGATAGAGGAGTGGGGAAATGGACAAATGGTTATGTATTCACGTAGTGATGATTATTGATGTTTTGAAATTTCTTAAATCTTTGGATATTGAGTAGATAATTAATCAGAGTGGAAAGAGGAAGGACTCTGATTTAATAAAAAAGAGTTGTCTGTTGGTCCGTTACACAGAAGGTAGTAGCCAGTTCACAACAAGCTTGGCTGCCTGTGAGGCAGTGAAGTAGCTCAGTTGGTACTGGGTTCGCTCTCCCTGCTTGAAGGGCTGGGTTCAATTCCCATGCTTTTTTTAAGCCTGTGATAGTGTGGAAACTCAGCAAGGCTGTAAGCTATGACAAATGTTTGACGAGTGGCTCACCACGATATAGGATGTCTTTGTGGAAACAAAACAATACAGATTCACTGACATACTGGCACACAGACTAGAAATGTACAATCAATGGCTCCGATCCGCAAAGCGTTCAATAACGCTACGACAGTTGTAGTTGTATGTTAAACAGTACAGTTAGGATTATCGCACCGTCAACAGTGCCGATCACAATGATTGTCGCGCTACAACTTACGTATCCTATACTTTAACACAGACTTACGACAGTCGTGTTACATTCGCTTTCTGAAATAGGGCCCTTGTTTAGTCAAGTATCTCTATAGAGGATTGATAATACCTCAAAACTGAGGTTACAATTATCGTATTGTCAACACTGCCGATCACACAATGATCGTAGCACTACAACTAACATATCCTATACTTTAACACAGATTTACGACAGTCGTTGTGTTACATTCGCTTTCTGAAATAGGGCCCTTGTTTAGTCATGCATCTCTATAGAGGATCGATAATACCTCGAAACTTGAGGTTACAATTATCATATTGTCAACACTGCCGATCACACAATGATCGTAGCACTACAAATAACATATCCTATACTTTAACACAGACGTACGACAGTCGTTGTGTTACATTCGCTTTCTGAAATAGGGCCATTGTTTAGTCATGCATCTATATAGAGGATTGATAATACCTCAAAACTGAGGGGACCAAGAGGAACAAGATGAGGGAGCAAGCTGTGTAATGATGTAGTGGGGCACATGCAAATACAAGTCCAGTCACACTTTTCCAGTCATTTGCAATGGACGTTGTAGTACAGGAGAGGTTGTAACTCTGCATGTTAATTGTATTGGTAGTGTTGCATTTATTCATATATATTAAGTTATTTTCCAATTATTATTTGTGTAAGGGTGTAGATATGGGATATGATTTAATTGTGTATATAGTATGTTTTGTAACCACACAAGGAATTGTTATTCAACATTGCAATCTCATTAAAATCATATCCAAGTTCTCGCTGCCGCTAAACAAAGATCTGACGACATCCTATTACATGTCCCATCAGAATGACCTGTCGCAAACTTTGACCATCCACTGAAATGACTAACAAGAAGTCGACATCAGCCAATTAGAAAGCAGCTCTCTCGAGCTTTACGGCACTCAATTCAACCTGGCGACTTCCATTTCAGACGCCGCTTGAAAAATATGTTGACACAGTTCTCGATTAAATTTTTTAAAACTGAACAAACGAACATTCCTGAATGTCTAATATATGGTTCAGATTGTATAGCAGTGCTTCTAACATACTGTGCAACGCCTCCTCCATTCAAATGTTTCTCCCATGGAAGTCAGAGATAGACGATAATTTTGACGGAATCAGTCGTACGGGCCGTAACTGTCGTTCGGGATACCCCATGTTAACATTTTTGAGGTTGCATGTTTAGAAAACGCATTCAGGCTAGCTGACTTAGTTGATACATGTCATCGATCCCAGTTGCATGGACCGATGCTCATGATATCAATCACTGGATTGGCTGGCCCAGACTCGAATATTTACAGACCGCCGTCATATAGCTGGAATATTGCTGAGTGCTGCGTAAAACAGCAAACAAACAAACCAACCAAAGAAAACACATTCCGCTTTGATGAAAGGTCGTTCCAACGTGACCCGTAAAGGGATGTCCTCAGATCTTTGTTTAGCGATAGCGTGAACTAAGATCTGATTTTAATGAGATTGTTCAACAATGATCATTATGTACTACTTAGTAAAGGATTTATGAGCGGCAAGAGAAAAGTTGGTTTGTATTAAAGTACAGTTTTTTGGCAACTGATTTTTTAAGCATTAGTAATTTGTCTTAAAGTTGCTTGCTGAAATTCTGTAAGTGTGGAAACTTTATGATAATTTGGAGCTGTTGATATACATTGGAAGGATATTAAGGAACTTTTTGTTAATGCCATGAGCATTACGGTATTGTTTGGCAGTGGATTCAACGCTCTAGGTAATGTTAATTAACAGAGTGATATGTTTTGTTGATATGAATAATTTTCATTGAACGCAGCTGGAGACATTATTCTGGGGCATGGGATAGCCTTGTGGTTAAAGCCTTGTGGTTAAAGCCTTGTGGTTAAAGCATTCATTCGTCATGCTAAGGTCCAGGTTCGAATCCCATCATTCCAGAAGTCGAATCCTTGGTGTCCCCTGCCATGATATTGCTGGAATATTTCTAAAAGCTGTGTAAAACCACTTGAATGCTGTCAGAACATGACAGAACCACACAGAATATCCAGTTGCCCTTGTTTCTTGGCTGTTAGCATTGGGCGTGGCTTCCACCAAACACAAAAATATTAAGGGATTCTTTGACACAGTACTTAGTCATATACACATTCTGATTAGTTTGTCATGTTTTTGCACATGAAATTAATCAAATGAGGGACAAGACTCACTTGCAGGTAACAGAATCGGTCAAGGGTTGTGTGATGTAGGGTTGAGTGACAGTGGGACAGATAGCTCACTCAAATATATTCGCAACGGTGTTGTTTTGTTTTTTTCCTATGCATGTGTGTTTTTACAAGAGGATGTGCCAGAACTGACTGGTTTGAATAGTGATACATTGATATCTGTACCTTGGAAACAACTAATTACGAAGCAATACTTGAGAAAAATGTTATGATTGAGTAATTTGAGTATGGATGGTAAATGGCTAGTTTTTGTTTATCACATTTCCACTTTTGGCATCACATACTTTTTCTTTCGTCATTTTCCCATCTTGAAGCATTTTTTTAATTAAAACTAAGACATGTAACTTAAATGTCTTATTTATTTATTATTTCAGTAATTATTGTAGGTGCATAATCGGCATTCTTATCCTCAGTGAGAGCAGAGCGAACAAAGTCAATGATTTGCTAAATTACACAATATTACCAATAAATGAAGACAGGAAATGACATAGAAGTACAACTAATTTGTATACCTAGTACATGTTCAAATAAATTGCTTGCTTAATTAAAGACAACAAATTTGACTAATAAATACAATTGTTTGAGAAGGCGTACTATGTACATGTTCAACAAATCACTTAGAAGTACAACTCAACTGTTTGGTTTATGTTGGATATGTTGAGAGGACCCATGCTACTTCTTAACTTCTTAGTTTCTTGGGGGGGGGGGGGGGGGGGGCACGGGCGGCCCAGCCATCTAAGGCGTCACGATTAGCGGTGCAGAGTTGCGTCCAGAGACGCCAGAAACCTATGATTGTGGGTTCGAATCCCGGTTCGCCCTCATTATGTTTCTAAGTTTGTCAGCACCATACCCGAGCTCATGGGTTTCACCGAAGTGGTAAACGTCTGAGACCTGCATCACTTCGGGCTTTCCTCCCACATTAAACTGACACGCCGCGATATAACTGTAATACTATTAAAAGAAGCGTCAAACCAAACTCACTCACTCTTAGACTCTTGAGTTTTACCTTTTAAAGTCAGTTTTCTAGTTCAGTGTTGATAGTGCGGTAGTAATTTGTGAATTGTTGCATAGTAATATATATCAAATTATCACATGGGAACTGTATTATCTCAATAAAAAGTGTCACGTCTTTACGTGCAATAACTTCGAATCATTTCATGGGAAAAATTGTGTACATGAGGGTCCGAACGATTTAGGATATGCCTGATCACTCCTACGTTATCTTTGCTCATTCGGTATCACTGATGTTGTTTGTTTGTTGATTAACGCCTCAGTCAGCAATATTCCAAGTATATGACGACGGTCTGTAAATAACAGAAAACAAAACCATGGGGTCTGAAGAATTTTTAGTATGATAATTCCTAGGTTATCTCCTTATTTGGAAGCTTCATTTTGGGTGTGCACGCGTAGTTGAACATCTCGGTCAGACCTTTACGCTTAGATGGTTTGACTTAATAATTAGATGCCAATATACTCTCTCCTGCCAGAAGACGTTATTCATTATATTTCTGTCTGATGGATAGTGTTTTTCTATTGCTTGTTGCTGTAAGTGTAAACTGCACTTCCCACTTGGGTTACAAATCAACACAGATGAAGCTCTGTTAGGAAACCACGGATTGCATCAGTAGGTTGTATGTCGGGTATGTTCTGGTAGTACAACTTGCACATTTTCACTTTTAACAAACCATTATGAAGGAAGTTGTATGTCATTTTGTTACGTTCACGAAGTTTTCGGTAATATTGCATGTAGGGTGAGCCTGTAGCAGTGATGTATATAACTAAGGATGCTTTAAGCAAGTGTCTGCAGCAGATTGCCTCTTCCCAGTTGTGTAAAGATGCTTCTACATCGAAATTTGGTTAAAAGGTTTTCAGAAAAAAGTTCCAAAAATGTTCCTACTTGGCCGAGTCTTAATTAAGTTTTGTTTTTTTTACAATTGATTTGTTGGTTATCCAGTACAAATTGTTAATTTATTTCATCATTATGTTATGCAAATATGCGGGCGGTCGGGTAGCCTAGTGGTTAAAGCGTTCGCTCGTCATGCCGAAGACCCGGGTTCGATTCCCGACATGGGTACAGTGTGTGAAGCCCATTTCTGTTGTCCCCCGCCGTGATATTGCTGGAATATTGCTAAAGGCGGCGTAAAACCATACTCACTATGCAAATATGCTGTAGCAGTGAGTACATCATGGGGAAAGGTGTTAATTTAAACTGATTGTGAAAGGAGAAAGAAACGATGTGTAGTTTTAAGTATTCTATGTTAAGCTTTATATCTCCCCATGGTTATAACCGTTATATCATCCCAGGTGGGAGGGATGCAGTGTGTTGAGATTATCTGAAATATGTTTTTATATATTCTAGTATTAAACCTGTTAATCAATATTTGCGACGAGGAACTTTGTGCGACAGACACTTGTCATTATGAGGTCTAACTGTGGTATGATGGTTATTATACACTGGCATGCTGTCCAATGGCATGTAGCATTGTATGTTGCCATGCTTTTATATCAAATAAAATGGAACCTGACTTGTGTTTTTGTTGTTATTATTGTATAGGATCTCCCTTTGTGTCTAC